TTAAATATCCAACAGGGAAATAGTTTTCAGGTAAATGTTTATTTAATACTCCTTAAAATATCTGACAGAGGAATAGTTTTCGGGTTGATGTTGATTGCATTCTCCTTAAAATATCAGACAAGGGGCTAGTTTTCAAACTAGTTTCATACTCCTTAAAATATCAGACAGAGGATTAGTTTTCAGGTTGATGTTGATTGCATTCTCCTTAAAATATCAGACAGGGGTATAGTTTTCAGGTTAATATTGATGTCAAACTCCTTAAAATACCAGACAGAGGAATAGTTTTCGGGTTGATGTTGATTGCATTCTCCTTAAAATATCAGACAGAGAGAAAAGTTTTCAGGTTAATGTTTATTTCATACAACTTAAGATATCAGACAGGGTAATAGGTTTCAGGTTAATATTGATTTCATACTCCGTAGAATATCAGACAGGGGTATAGTTTTCAGGTTAATGTTTATTTCATACTCCTTAAAACATCAGACAGAGGACTAGTTTTCAGGTTGATGTTGATTGCATACTCCTTAAAATATCCAACAGGGGAATAGTTTTCAGGTAAATGTTTATTTCATACTCCTTAAAATATCAGACAGGGTAATAGTTTTCAGGCAAACTTTTATATAATACTCCCTAAAACATCATGGGGAAAAGTTGTTCGGTAAATGTTGTCTTCTGAGTCAAGGAGACAAGATGTCAGGTTGTATAAATAATGTTTTAACACATAATTATATTCAATAATTTCTCCGTTAATGCGTGTAGCTAGTATGCTATGCCTTTAAAACCATTTGATTAAAATAAATATAAAGTTTTGTCCTTGAAACCTCAGTAATCCAATATCTAGTTCTTCAATTATTTTGAAATGTTCCATTTAGCATAGATAATGATAAATACAGTCTTGTAAATGACGTGTATACAATTTTAAACAAATCTAACAAAATAATGGCTAACCCTGATAGTATTACGCGTTCTATTTATAGAACCAAGTGTCGGAAATGTGTATCAACTTGTATCAAAATAGAAAAGTCGATAATATATATTTATTGAAAAATGAACATTTTTTGGAGTTGATACTTGGGTACAAAAAACATCAATAATTAACTAAACTCTGTCAAATCTGTGTACACTGATGTTAGATGTATTCTTCGGGCCGTTTACACAATTCTGTTGATAACTGTACACATTTGGATAGCCAAATACTTGACAGCCTTAGAAAACCTATACTTCTTTAATTCAAGTACGTATTAAGAGTGCCCCTGTTACTGGGTCCGACATCTGCTATTGCTACTAATTTGTTATCAATGCCCTGTTAATTAAAACTGTTTTACAGCGTTATTGCATTGCATACAACTCTGCGACTGAAAAACGAAAATCAAATGCAATCCTAGAATAATCAATAGATATCACATTCTGGGAAATGAATGTATTGCATCCTCCTATAGTTGTGTATGCCAAGAGTTTTCAATAGATACATTTATTCACAGAGGTATTGAAATATGATATGCATTCCATAAAATTGTCATCTAATGTAAATATGTCATTCTTTCATTACATAAAATATTGTTCAATCCGTTCAATTTCACTTTAATATTAGCGAAAACTTTAATAAGTGATTGAGAAGATATTGTTTCAATAACTGCTAGGGGATTAGAATTAGCTAGAAATATTTTGAAAACATTAGAATATAGAGAGATCGTAAAAAGAAAGGAAGACAATTAATTACAGTACATGTACACTTTGATTTACACAAATATAAGGTATGATATTGTACAATACAGATGTGATAGTCTGACGAAAATGAAAGATACAACATTGATTCATTTCACAGTGCCTGTGTGCCCTAACATTGTACTGGGGAAAAAAATGAAAAAAAATGATCTCAAACTAACAAAACTATAAACTTCAAGAAATGTCATTTTGACCGTCAAAGCAATTGCTTGAATAAACACAAAATATTTAATATCGTATCTAAAATAAAAGTACGGCTGTGATCTTCAGTGTTTATGTCCGATAGAATATGAGGCAACTGTAATGATATTAGATTCAATAAAAACGATCCATCTGCACTTAATATAATGGCTTTCTAATTGACTCGGTGCTGACGACCTTTCCAACATTCTCTGATTTTGTAATGCATGTCTTTGATGATGGTTACTGTTACAGAATGCATTCAACGTTTTTGGCACACAGAGTTAACCTTTTGAATACTATAGGTAGTAATTACAAGCGTTGGAGCATATGTAGTAATCGTACAGATTTGTTTCATTAACTTTGTAAGATGGAATTCTCCCACCACAAAACAAAAGAATGAAAAATTAAAAAATAAAAAATAAAAAAGATTTAGTTAGCTTCAAGTTTCCGCTAGAATGCATGAAGGGTCAACAAAAAAAGTATAGATATCATTATGTTTTAAAACATTCTGTCACCTATACACAATTTCACATAAAAGTACTCTCAATTAAATAATTTGGACTTACTCAGCTTTCATTCGGTCATATTTGACATGCTATTGTATATTGACTTAATCAACTCAAATTTAAACAATCCTTTAACATATTTCCATATTTTTGTATAAATGTTGTATTATATAAGCCATAGTGTTTCTTTTGAATGTTGAACTCGCTTGAATACTGTATTCCGGCAAAGTTTTGCTGCAGTTCAATTTTCTCGCCCTGCATTATGAGGGCGAATTATATCACTTCAGCGAACAGTGGTAAAGAACATAGACATAGTAAAGAAATTTGAAGGGCGAAAGAAAACTGGGCGAATATGGATTTTACAGGCTAAGTTTGACAGGGCGAAAATGTCCCTGTATACAACATTTAAGAAAATTAACTAATTCATGTGAAAACACATTTGAACTCTTCCAGTTCATAGATTGGAATAGTTCATTAAGAAATTTCAGGGGTGAATGAGGTAAATTTACAATTGATTTTGGCCTCATCAGGTTTGCCGTGGTTTAATGTACACTCAGCGTTTATGGTCAGTTGCAATCTGCCAGCGTCTGCTTTCATGAGAGTTCATCGACTCCATCCACGTGTCTATACGCGTCATGCCTGGCGCGGCATTTGCGGTTTGCTTCGCCACTTAATGTACGTCATTCTCTGATAGTTCCAGGTTTTGCAACATTGATGCTCAATTATGCATGTAGGGAAGTTAGACATACAAAACAAGCATGCTGGCATACGGCAAAATTAACCTGTTATCCCTAGTGATAACAGTGGGTATATCAACAGTCGCTAAAATAACATGTGAATAGAGGGCAATGTAGTATTTGTAAACACATTACAATATATTTTTATTTCATCTTTATTCTCTGGGGAAATATGTATATTTACCATGTCTATCGTGTTAAAAGCCTATTTACAGTCACTGACATAGTACATAAATAAAGAACAATATAGTATATATAATGAAAGCTACGAGATCAATATATTTCATTTTTCTTCTCTGGGGATAAATACTAAAAATACTTACCATGTCTATCCTGTAAAGAATTATATGGGAACAGATAATCACATTCAATTAATTAATTTTTATGATAAAATATTATTGCAATCGTCAGCATTTGTACAATGCCAGTTAAAACTTAAAGTCACCAACATACAAGGATAATCTAAGTTAAAATCAAAGACCATCTTTTCAGGATGGAAAAATGAGAAGTCTGTTGTCGTTTGGATTTAAAACAATTATCATGCATTGATTTTATGATTTCCTATCGATTTCAATAAAACGTATTACAAATAAAAACATACGCAGTATTTTATTTCCATTTATTAATTAAACTCCCCGTTCAAAAACATACTATTTGCATTCAAACAATGTATCACTTGCGTTCCAAAACAATATCATTCGTTCAGAAACATATTGCATATATATCAAAAAAAGCATTGCATTCAAAAACATCGTATGTGCATTAAAAATAATTATTGCTATTATTTTATTCTTAACGGCCCATCACAATGCATTAAAAAACATTTGCATTAAAACATACCGTTATGTGCATTAAGTTCAGAAATTACAATTCAGTGCAATAATTATTATGTAGTGTTTTAATGTTAAATGATTTTTGCTTCATCATTGTTTGGCGTCAATTTGATCAAAATGTATTTTTCTGAATATATTGATGTAGTATGTAAGTTTCAAAGGCATACAATGTGTTTCTGCAGAATTTAGGTATATATTGAGATTTTATGTATTAGGCATTAACGTGTTTTAAAGGTTTCCAGGACACAAAACAGGGACCGATGTGACAATAACAACTCCGGGTGCTCTGGAGAGAAAATAATCGTAAACGTACTCAGATTACCAAGGAACTAAGACAGGACACAGAAAAGAAATTCTATAATCCTGTTTGACACTTCAATCTTGAACAGCTGAAAATTAGGTCATGATGACGACCGTCACATGTCTTTATCAAGGTTCCCTGTCCAAGACAAAACACTAGTGAATTCCACTGTTGCCATGCAATAAAGAAGAGTTTCCACTTCATAGTTACCGTTTTTGACAGTGATACGGGGTTCATTAAGAACCTTAGGTAAGTAAAACTCGCTGAATTTAAGTTCTGTATTGACCGTTTTAACTCGAATATCCAGAATATCCAATTTTAAAATTTAAGACAGGTAGCAGTTTAAATTTACTTCATATATTTATGCATAGTTTTCTTCTTAGGAATTGTATAAAACAAACTTTGAAAATTGCATATAATTACATCTTAATTCATTATATTACTCATCATCAAAACTATGTTGAATCGTTAAAAAGTTGAATCGTTAAAACAATAAAAACATACTTAAGCGTAACATAAAAATAATAGTAATACAAAATGCACAGTATCACTGTTCAACAGTCGTTATCTAAACAACTACGCTTTGGTTTTGGACCAGTTTATTTAAAGTAGACAAACAAGAATGCAAAGACAGCATTTCTTAGCTGGGGCAATATGCCTTCCAGCGATAGGGAGAGCGGGGTCCAACATGCTAATTAGCGAGGGGTATATAAGATCGCATCAAGCCTCAGTTCGCCAGTCCTAGGCTCACTAGCAGTACACTCTACGTCACCATGAAGGCTTGTATAATTCTCTTCGTCTTGGGCATTGCGGCCACGTATGTAGCGCCAAGTGCAGCAGACATTGCAGAACTTGAAAACAGGATCCAGGGGTTACAGAAACGTTTAGATGACCTTGTTGCCGGAATAATCCCAGGGGGTAAGTTTTTTTTTACATTTATTTGCTTTCATTTATTATTATTATTATTGTGAAATTGCAGTTTTTCACTTTTTTTTTTTTTTTTTGTTATTTATGTAATCTTTTAGTTGAAATTTTCAAAATATGGACACATGTTAACATTTGGAAAAATTAAGAAGAAAACAGTTTTAAACGAATTACATAGCAAATAAAAAGGTCCCTTTAAAATGGAAAAATAACAGAATAGCATAACCTTGCTTCAATAGGTATACAAAATAATCGTCATTTGTAAAGTCACGTTTTTAAATCAAATAGGCTGTTTGTTGTCTAATATTATCCTATTTGATGCATAGGACATTTCCGTATGTTCAGTATAGTAGAAAGACCAAACAAACCTCATAATACATTGACGATTTATGAAGTAATACTCGTTAGTCAGTACCAAATAAGAGACTAAAAACAGTTAGTTTTATCTTGGTGATTAAACAGTTAATCCTATATTTTCACTAAATATAGTTCATGTATTTTAAAAAATTGTGATTTAATACACTTAATCTTCTGTTAACGAGAAAAGAACAGAATGTTCTTTTAAAAACGTGCTAGATAAGTTCATTTTATTTTAGAGACTAGTCACATTTATTCCTATATTGGAACATTTAACATTAGTGACACTTTTTGGGAGTAAAGTGGCTAAATAATTTTAACATTACATGGTGTTGAGATATATTTTCAAAATATAGAGAATATACAAACTTATAAAAATGTATTGATAATATCATATGGTGAATAATGTATGCTTCGTCTATCCTTGGGCACTACTATAACAATCCGTGTCCGCAGTAAAGTTAGCAGCATACTCATTACAGTAAAACCTCGTTATACTGCCATTATTTGCCAAAAAGAAGATGTTGGCATTATAAAGGAGTTTAAAGATAAATTGAGGGAAAGGTGTAAAGGAATTCTTTATAAAAAGGGACCTTGAAATATGTTTGCGATACGAAATTAAACGAGGGGCATTATATCGAGGTTTTACTGTTAATCATGAAGTAAGTGCGATGCTTCTGTTATGGAGTTATGTATAAAAAAGCACAATCGGACGTCTTACTCTCGGTAGACGAGGTCTCTCGCTCGGTAGTAGACCAATCCTTCACTTTTCTTTTCATGCTATAGACGATGATGAAGCCATAGATACGGCTCACCGAATGAAGAGGAGCGGGGCTTACTACTATGCCGCAGCTAGGGGTCCCCCCGGCCCAGTCGGTATGCCGGGTAAGTTCATTTTTTATTTCTTATTTTGATACACCCAATTTTGTTTCAACAATCAATTTTTTGTGAATAAATATCTTGAGTCCGGTATTTAACTTGAAATTTACAAAATCATAGCTGTCTGAAATTTATACAATACAAAAGCACGATTTAAAGAAATCTAAATGGTCAAGATACTATCTTTATTTTATCGTTTTATTTTACTCTGTTTAAAATGAATCTCAACGTTCAAATGACATCAAGAAAATCGATAAAATCGGTCATACTTAAAGACTCTAAGATTTGTGCATAAGGAGGACTGAATTGCACAAAATATTTATTATTGCTGTTTGTTGATTATTTGTGAAACGTGTCGCCAGAAATGACATCACGCGGTCGCAATTCTCTCGCTGCTTTCGCGAATTGTGTTGATTGAGACTCGCTTTCCGTATGGGTGTGTCTAATAAAAACCCTTCTTGTAGGTAAAAAGGGCAAAACTGGTGCTGACGGTCCCCCTGGACCTCAAGGAGAATCGGGTGAAAACGGAGAAAAGGGAGATGCTGGTGAGCAAGGACTTGTTGGAGCCCCAGGCCGCCCAGGCCCACACGGCCCACAAGGCTTCACAGGAGACCAGGGAGAACCAGGACCTCATGGACCACCCGGCCCACAAGGTGATGTGGGACACACCGGAGCACAGGGAGAGACAGGTTTCCCAGGCATGCCAGGAGCAGTTGGACCAGCTGGTCCCCAAGGAGGCAAGGGAGAGGATGGACCCGCTGGACCACCAGGGCTACCAGGACAGATGGGAGAGAAGGGAGATCAGGGAGCACCAGGACCACAGGGAGAAACCGGCGCTATGGGCCCTGCAGGACCAGAAGGCCCCTCCGGGCCACAGGGTGAGGCAGGCCCTCATGGCCCCCCAGGACCACAAGGATCTCAAGGATACCCAGGACACACAGGCCATAAGGGAGCCAGAGGTGCCCCGGGACCCAGAGGATACACAGGCCAGCCTGCTCAATACTACGTTGCTGCATACAGGGCACCTGCTCCATCTAAAGCTTACAGGGCACCTGCTCCATCTAAAGCTTACAGGGCACCTGCTCCATCTAAAGCTTACAGGGCACCTGCTCCAGTTAAATACCAACCAGCCCCATCTAAAGCTTATCGACAGCAAGCCCCTGCCCCGCAAAAGGGAGGAAACCAGGCAGCCCCGTACAAGGGTTAAATACGAACGTATTTATTAAATAAGACATTTTGAAATTCCAATACATTTCATTCATTTGTTCTATTCCATCGCTTGAAAAATATTTGTCATTTGGTAGTAAATGTTCCTTCTTTGACAATAAAGTGTTCCGACAACAAAGTGTCATAAACGCAACAGAAATACGTTAAGATAAGAAAGAGGGAAACTAATTGTAATTGTTGCTCTGTGACGATAAAAAATAAAATAAAAAAATAAAAAAAAATCCCCTCTTGGAATTATTTGTTTACAACTAATTATGACTAGTTTCCCATTGTCGGAAATTACTGATGTGCTAGAAATAGCCTATCAGGTAAACATTGGAATCTCGTTGATAAAAAAACCCAGATTAATCCGAATTACCACATTATTTCGAGGATTTTATCAGACCCTAAAATGTATCGGGAGTAACGAGATTCTATTGTAGTTTAATTTTACTTAAAGGAATAAAAAAATATAAGGTATATGCATTTCAGCGATAAATATTCTGTGCTTTCTTACAGTAAGCATATATAATGGATTTTCTGCCTTAGTACCATTTCCCTCCGCTAGGCTGCGCTTTCTGATACTTTAAATTTCGAAAGCGAAGCCTGACGGAGAGAAGAATAAAACTACAGCAGACCATAAAGTCTAAAAAAGAGTAGGGGCTTTTCTGAAAAAAATATTCTTAAAATATCTCTCATAAACAACGACGTTGAGAAATGCATATACCTTTACCGCCACAGCTAATAACCGAGGCACGCTATAATACCAACATATGAAGATCGGCGTTCGTACTTGCCTAGTTAGTGTTCTTTTCAAGATATAATCACGAGGTTCTAACAAAATAGATGCGAAAACCAGTCGCTAACTGCATATTTTTAGCTGTTGGTACAAAAATGAAGTTTGTATTAATGAATGCATGCGGATCCAATGCAAACAGTTCAAAATATGGGGGAAGGGGGAGTTATCTTTTTTGAAATAATATTCACCATTTTTAAAACTTCTTCCTTGTTCCTGATTTAGGGATTAAGAAACAAATTCATCTAAAAATAACGTATGCTCTTGATATTTTTATGGAAACAAAAGTGTCAAAGGATACCTGTCTCTCTGCAAGCACAACACTAGATAATCCTGCTGTAGTTTTTTTCAGAGTCATCGCCCTTATGTTTCTTTTTGGATATACATGTAATAGAGCTGAAACAGAGCAGTATCGCTGAAAAGGTTAGAGCGACAGTATACTTTGCCCGGAAATTCTTGATTCGAGTCCTAACCCCGTTGCATTTGTTACTCTCCGAAAACTATATTTGATTCGTTCTGTTCATTTCATCCCCCTTATCGTTTTGAATTAATCTTCAGCAGGATATTGGCGTATTTCAAAAAGGATTTATTAAGGTATTGTAATGCCGTTTAACAAGGTTTTTTTTCAATTCATAGTTACAGTTTTGGGCAGTGGAACAGGGATTCTTTAATTCGGCGAATGGATTTAGGTCTAGTTTTTTTAATTCCATTCCACCAAACATAGCATGCTTTCTTTAAGTTATGAGTGATGGCTGGGGCTGATGGTTAGATTAAACATATTTTGGTTTGCATTGGTTCTGTAACTGGTATACAATAAACATATTGTCACGTTACCCAAATTGACACCTATTTTACAGTTTAAAATGTAGTTCATGATAGAGAGAAAAAGTCTTCTTTTAAAAACACGTTTTTCTGTTGTTAAAACATAAACAATATTAAATTGATTCGTAAAATATATGTTTGAATTTTATATATTCAGAAACCAAGAAAAAATATCTATCAGAATATGAAATAGTTGAATACATTGATAGGCAACGAAAATGTTATCCTTCTTATGTTAATACCTATTAAAATAATAAGTTCAAAAAAGCCCCCTTTTTGAAATGCTTATCGTCATTTATTAATCGTTTAAGCTACAATAAGCATGCAAATTAAGTTGAACTATTTTTGTCAGCAATTGTTTTAAAAAAATCTGTTTTATTTGGATAGAAAGAAAATAAAAATAAAACGTGACACACTACAAATGATACGACTAGTTAATACAATTTAAATATGTATGCAACTTATTTTTGTACTTACTTAATCCTCTTCGTCCTGTATGGGACATAAGGCATCAACAATGCATCTCCATTAGTGTCTGTCGTTGGCAGCGTGTTGTGCCTCGCTCCATGAAAGCCCCATCTCTTTCAATTCCTGTGTTATGATGCGTCTCAATGTTGTCTTTGGACGCCCTTGATTTCATATCTTTTGTAATGGGATTCAATTTGGGTACAGTGACGGGCGAGGTATCGCTACAAACGACGCAAAACGATCTGGTACTTTTCTGCAAAAATATGCGACACCTATCAAGACAAATTAAAAGGCGAGCATGCGGCTGCGAAGAAGACGATTTAACAGTTATCATATCGTGAATTGTACAGGGACGCAAGACTACTCCACGAACGGTAAGAAACCATTGTGGCCGGGAAACGAAGCATACATTGTGAGCACCATAAACTTATATAAACATAGGGGAGTAAGTGATAAAATTACAATTAGTTTGTATGGGTATTTTTCCACTGTATGGTTAAAAGATATGGGTCCTACCATGGTTAAATTTCAGTATTTTCAGAAATTCTATGGGTCAAATCAAAATTCTATGAGTGCAGGATCCATGCCTCGCATGTGGATATCACTGTGAGGAGTTCACTTTCTTTTGTTAATTATTTGCTTACAAATAGGGTACATAAGCAAGTAATTACAATTAAACAGAATCATCGAAAATTCATCGATGTTTTTAATGGCGGTAGTTATCTGTGGCGAAGATTTGACTGTACACTGCATTGTAATTGCATCGTAATTGCAATGTTAACTTATTTTTATATAAAAGGTGGCTGTTATTTCAAATGTCATAATTAGGAAGTGTAGCGTCTATTTCACTTATATCGGTTGATTTTGTTTAATATATTGACATGTAATATATATTATTTCTTTGCGTTTGAAAGGGTTTTTTTTGTTTCACAGTTCCTGAATAAGTATCCCTCAATATATCGTCAAACCTCTTTATAACGCCAACATTTCACTTGACAAATGGTGGCAGTATAACGCAATTTTGCTAAAATTGGTTCAAAATATATGCTTTTTTGATCATGCCGACTTTAAACACAAGTGTTTAATTCTTTGTTAGCACTTTCTTACTTTCAGGTCCAAATTTCAGGTTTTTCTATTTTTAGTTTACTTATAACATAACATAACAAATATAATATAAATGGAATTATATAAGATTTAAAAAGAACAACTAATGCTTTATGAAAAAGTTTGTCCAAACGAAAACATTAAACGATTCTTCTATTCCGTCTTTGCGTATTGCAGAGTTATCTTCTCTTGAGAGGAGGTATTGATTGTTACGTCATTGGTTTGTGTGAGAAAATTACGTCATTTTCTCAAAAATTGATGACGTTACTCTCACATACAAGTGACGTAACAATCAATACCTGCTCCCAAGTGAAGATAACTCTGCAATACGCAAAGACGGAATAACAAAACTATGAACATGAAAAGATATATGATAATTTTTCCATTATACGCTTTAAAGGAATAATGAGTAAATTTCAGCAGCTCTTTTCCAAGGTATATCTGAATGAGTACTGTTCAAGCACTGACCTGTATTCCGATACTATTATATGACTCTATGCAGTATGCATTAGTTACAAACATAGATTTTTGATGATACATTTTCCTTCTTTTTTTTTACCAAACTAATCATTTATTTAAAAGATGTTGAACACTACGAACATTTGAATGGGTTTATGGAGATTTGTTCATCGGTGTTATTTGAACCGCATGAAAGATGCTTAGTTCAGTTGGAAAGATAAATATGCACGAACAAATGTCATTTCTTTTTTCGACCACGATCTCTATTTCTTCTGAAAATACATGACATTCGATCTAATAATATCGCTCTACACATCAGGATATGCGAAACAAACCAACTGTAACAAATTCTACGGTATCTGCATAACGCGTGGTAAAGTTACAGTTACATCAGACCACAAAGTCACTTCCGGGTCGTGGTACACCAATGTAGTGTATAAGGATATTTCAGGTCAGTTACTAAATAGTTTTATTTATGATCTATGATAGGTATGTACAGTTATTTTACATAGTGATTTTTTCTAGTGATTTTTGACGCAGTTTTCAAGTCAGTATTGGCAGCAGGATACAATGAGTTATGAGTCTTTGTGCGATGATATTTTGTGATTTTTGGTATCCCACCACCACCAATACATGCAGTGTAGTGACATTAAAATGAAATTATCTTTCTTAAATGCCAGTCAGTCATGAGGTACTTTCCAGCTCACTGTAGGGATCTACAATAGAAAATAGGAACCAGAGCCTGTGCAAAGTTTTAAAATAGTTTAATATAGTTTTTCCTTTGGTAGTAACATATAGTAGAATTAATTGTGGTCTGAGCCCTGCTTGATACCCCTAAACTCTAATTCGCGGTGGGGATAAAAGCTCTTGGACTATGATGAATGTAATCGTTTAAGCTCATGGTATTGATACGGACTTCATTGACTTAGTTTGAACTCATTATTATGTAACCTTAAAGCTGATACAGACAACAGAACACTCAACTTCCTGCAAATTGTAAAGCATATATAATTTCACTGTGATAAAACGAACCAATAGAGGACTCTACTGACAATACAGAGACTAAAACCTAGGATCAGGTAAAACAGTATGTTGATAAACTAGGGATAACTATAGTCATATAACCTGTCATGTAATTCAACACGAAAGGTATAAAAAGACATCCTTTTTATAGTAAGATTTTGGTAGAGTTGGATTTTGGCAACACCAAGTTTTGGTAAGTATCAATTTTGTAAAAGCGTAACATGGTTAAGTCCGATTTCTGATTTCGATTATGTCAAATTTCCAATAAACTCAGCCACAGTTGGGTATGCCAAGATGTAATTTCAGTTTTACAATCAGATTTAAGATAAACTCAAATCTTGGTTAAATCAGTTTCGAGTAAAGGCAGAAAAGACAATGAAAGAAATTACCCAGTGCAGTCAGGATTATGTTTGCTACAAGTGTTGATCTCACTATTTCAGAGGATGGCAAAACGAGGAAGAAGAGGCACATATATCTTGCAGGACCCCCAGGCCAACCAGGAAGCGTAGGTAAGCCACGCCCGACATCAATCGGACCACGCTCGGCCATTTCTGTGCATGTCACGGAAAAGGAAGATAGGAACCGATTGCCCGAAATTGAGTAGTGCAGTGTTAAATTATTTTGCTTCCGTCAATAGTTATTTACTTTCACAATTCAATATTCGAAGAGATTTGAATTCGTGAAACAAAATGAATTAACTAAATATTAAAAAAAAATAGAATTAAAGATGCTTTGATCGATTGACACTTCAGTTCGTTCTTGACAAAATTCAGATTGGAACACGACTACTTTATGTAGCCAAGCTCAAGTCCGAAATGTTTTTAAAGATACATCAGTACACGTTTACTAAACAAAATTTGAGAAATACGCAAAATAAAAAATTAGCTGAAAATACCTTCACAGATGTTAATATGATGTGCTCAACTTTTCACTGAAGCTTACGGAAATATTTTCAACAGAATATTAAATCTTGAATTATTTTTGAACACACATATTTTAAAATTAACACCTTTTATAATTGATTGGTATATAACCTAAATTTAAAGAATCCGGGTAGCACACTTGAAATGCAATTTTGTCAAACTCGTGCAGTACAAACTGTATCACATGGTTTAGATATGGCACGCCTGGTTTCGGAGGACAAAGGTCAAAATTATTATTGTTACCGGTAATAAGTTTATATGGTTTGGCATATGTTTAAACTTGACATATGAAAACAAAATTTCTGATTCGTAACATGCTAAGCATCCGTTCGTGAGCTTACCCTTTCTTGATATCAATATCCCTTCATCTCCTATGTTACGACTTCAATTTGGTTGTAATCTGCCCAGCAGTTTGCAGGAAATGTAATTTAAAGTAAATCGGCCTATCTCAGTCCCTTTTTAACCAATCTCCTCGTCTTACTTGGCACAATTGTACTGATGTACATTAAGTGGGGAGGTGACAATCAATTCAAATATTTATCTCATAAAGAAAATACAACTGTCTTTCTTGAAACCAATGATAAATGCACATTTCATCTTTTCTTCTATGTAACCGTTTTACTTATTACACTACTTCATCTTCAAACTCAAATTTTCCTTGCGTAATATAGTGTTTTGAAATTGTAGTTTGTTGATACCTTTCGTGTGACCATATTTGGCATCATGTACAGATGCATTTAGCATTGAAAAGTCATATTAACAGTTTCCGATAATCTAATTACACTGCTGAAAATCATTGTAATTGACACTTGTGCCTGTTTAGGAGCCCCTGGACATCCTGGACATACTGGCGCTGCCGGACCTCAGGGGCCTACCGGATACCCAGGCTACAAGGGCGAAAACGGTGACCAAGGAGAGGTGGGCGAGGAAGGAGCACCAGGAGAGCATGGCCCTCAGGGTCCAAAGGGTGATACAGGAGCACCAGGAGAAATTGGTCAAATGGGAGCGCAAGGAGAGAAGGGGGCGACAGGAGAGACAGGTGAACAAGGGCAGCCTGGTGAAGTGGGCCAGTCAGGACCAGCCGGACCCCAGGGACCCATGGGCGAGCCAGGACACTATGGACCACAAGGTCTGTAGCACTGGCTGTTATAACAACTGTGCCTTACACTGTATTACACGAACAATCTTACTTTGACACTTGCAGTCAACACTAATGATTATTGCTCCCCTTAACCCTTTCACCACTGCAGACCTTAATGAACTCATCCAGATCAATGCATGGTAGAGTCTACTTAAGTTACATAGTAGTGAAAGGGTTTAAACTTACCACATTTCATCTCATCCCTGTACTAAGATGCGATTTAAGGTGGAAGGGGGGCAATTGTACAGATTACACACATGGAACAAAAAACGCACGCACTGCATATAACTTACATTGTTTAATCGTTTTCCCTGTGCATTTTCCTGGGAAGAATTTACACAGTTAAAAAATCCTTTTTAACCCACTGTCAATTTCATCCTTCACGTGGATTTTATTTGGTACTAAATACTCTCATTTCTGAAAAAAACCAAGTGGAGAATGATAAATTGTATAAAAAAAACTTTTACGGTATACAGTACTTTATATAGGAAAATTATTTATATATTATATATAGGTGATTATTTTGTATATTATATAAAGGTAATTATTTAAATTTTATATATTATATATAGGTTATTATTTTGTATATTATATATAGGCAGTTATTTATATATTATATATAGGCAGTTGTTTATACATTATATATAGGTAATTATTTTGTATATTATATAAAAATAATTGTTAACATATTATATAAAGGCAACTATTTATGTATTATATTTAGTTAATTATTTTGTATATTATTTACAGATAATTACTTATATATCATATATAGGTATTTTATTTTTATTTTATATATAGGCAATTATTTTGAATATAGGTTAATGGTATGTAACTTTATAATGTTTACTCAATCCAGGATACCCCGGAATGCAGGGAGAAAGAGGACACACTGGAGTTCAAGGATACCCAGGTATGACCGGTGAGGAAGGATCAAGGGGACCACCAGGAAACGTGGGTGAACCAGGACCTCCAGGAGTGCCGGGACCACATGGCCCACAGGGACCCACGGGGGAACCCGGCCTACCCGGACGACAAGGAGTCCAGGGATACGCTGGACCACGTGGAGCAAATGGAGCACCAGGACAAGCATACGCAGTCAGATATAGGAGTGCACAAAGGGCACCTGCTCCATATACAAAGGGAGGTTAATGTCTATAATTAGGAGTAATCCTAAACATGAAGGGTAATCATGTGGTTAAAGAATAAAAATGAGTTTTAAAAATTTTCTAAATTCCATAATTCATGTCTGATAGAATGGTACATTACTTACGGCGATTAGAGGTAGGTAATGTCCGTCCCGTCAGTCTCAGGGGATGGAATAATGAACAATATTCCAATTGTCCGTGATATTCCATCGGATTTATGATAAGTCTGATGTATATGTTTGCATCATTCACATCTCAAACAAAAGCAGCAGTGTCTCTTCATCTTCTCATTTCCATGCAAAAACGATTGTAGTAACTTAGCAGGCAAGAAGGAACAACAGTGTGATTTAACACAAATAAAAATGCCTCAATATAAACAGAAGTCTTTTCTTGTGTTTTTCATATAAACATTTGTTATGGGTTGCTGGTGTGTTTGACCTATTAACAGCTATGTCATTTACTGGTAAGGACGTGCCAGGTTTTGATGGTAGAAGAAAGCCGGAATTCACAGAGAAAATCCAACGACCAACGACCAGTACCTGGGGACTGCCCCACGTAGGTCTCGAACCCCCGACCAAGTGGTGAAGGGCTAGTGATAGCAGAATGTCAGACGCCTTAACCACTTGGCCACCGTGGCCCCTCATATATACATATAGATAAAATCATACAAGAGGCCCATGGGCCTTAACGGTCACCCGAGTCCTACAGTATTTATTTTTGTTGTTGAAATATGTACAAATTTGAGTAAGAAGTAGTTAATTATAACGTTAACTTAAGTTTGTCAGGACCATGAGTTGATCATTCCTAGACTGAGTTTCAGTTAAATCGGTCTATTAGAACTTGTTTTTAAGTTTGAAATAGTTATTTTCAAAATGGCGGCCATGGTAGTCAAATTGTATTTCTGATCGACCCGAAAAATAACAACACTTTGTCAGGACGATAAGTCGATCATTCCTACAAAGTTTCAGTTCAATCGGCCTAGCAGAACTTGACTTTAAGTTTGAAATAGTTTTTTTTCAAAATGGCGGCCGTGGCGGCCATATTGGATTTCTGATCGACCCAAAAAATAACAACACTTTGTCAAGACCATATGTCGATCATTCCTATTAAGTTTCAGTTCAATCGGCCTAGCAGAACTTGACTTTTAAGTTTGAAATAGGTTTTTTTTTCAAAATGGCGGCCGTTAACGGACGACGCACGACGCACGACGCACGACGACGGACGAAGACGGATAACAATAGGCAAAATGAGCTAAAGCTCATGTGACCTAAAAACACTGGACCCTGGCTAAATTTAAGTGCCCAATGGTTAAGGATCTCGGTACCAAAAACCTGGAACTATGCATTGGAAACGGTTTTTTCCAGCATGACTATATCTTTGATAAATCATTTCTGAAAAGAAAACCATACCTTCCGAGACTTTTAATTTAAAAGACAATAAAGATGAAATAAGCAAAATGTTATCAACAACGGTGTTTTCTAGTGAAAAACAAATCAACGGGGCTAGACAAGGATTCGAACCATGAACCTCAAATTGTTATAAATTCAAATTCATTATTTTTGCACATTTATCATTATACAGTAGTTCGAAGGCAAAGAAACATACTGAAATATATACAAAATTACATGGGGCATGTATATCAACTGAGCTGCCTGTTCAACGATAGTGCCCAAGGCCAATTACACTACAGTAAATATCCAAAGTGAAATTAAGAGGAGGTTTCTAGTGTTTTGCCTGCACTGGGACAGAGATCCTTAAGATTTGAGAATTCACAAAGACACAAGCTTGTCGGAAATATGTGACAACTAACTACAAGTACTGTGACTATGTGGACTTCTTATCTTGCATCCATATAAAGTACTGCAAAATGTAAATCATTCAAATTCAAGGTATCTAAAGTACTGTAAAATGTATATCATTCCTAATTAATGGTATATAAAGTACTACTGCAAAATGTAAATCATTCAAATTCAAGGTATCTAAAGCACTGTAAAATGTATATCATTCCTAATTAATGGTATATAAAGTACTACTGCAAAATGTAAATCATTCAAATCCAAGGTATCTAAAGTACTGTAAAATGTGAATCATTTATTATTCAAGTTATCTTAAGTACTGCAAATAGTAAATCATTCATAATTAATGGTATATAAAGTACTACTGCAAAATGTAAATCATTCATAATTCAAGGTAACTAAAGTACTGCAAATTGTATATTCCTAGTTCAAGGTATACATATATTTGCCACAATTTTCAAAGAGAATGATGCACAGGTATCTGGTATATCATGAACATTTATTAAGGGCCTTTCATCTGAAACTATGGATCAAGGGAGTACGTGGCCAGAGACCAGTTTCCTCTGATACTGTAATTTACATTCTGAAATATAGCGATAACAAAACTTCAACAGTTAAAGTTAACAAGTCTGCCTTGTGGCAATTTCCCCCCACTAAACCTGAAAAGGAAAATGCATAACTAAGACCCAATTCTAAGGAGTTTAGATAAGCTTTTTAAAAGATCCCTTCAGTACTTTACGAGATATGACAACAAACTATAACAGTATTTCCTAAATCCAGAATCGTAACTCGGCAGCCGTCTTGTTTTTCCGATCAGTCTCAAAAGTATACATGCATAACCAAGATCAGTCTCAAATCTTATCATCCATAAGCAAGATAAGTCTTAAAATTAAACATTTATAACCAAGAACAGAGAGGTACCTATATATGAAATTTGAGAAACATCTCTCTAGTACGTCTTCAGAAGAATTGTTAAAGGAAGGACAATGGACGAACCAATAGACGAAGGATTATTTGAACAGTTTACAATCTGCTGATGGTGGGTTAAAAACTTGTTAAGCCACCAAACAAAGCAGGGGACTTACTGGTTTTACTTCGTTTCATATTCTTTTTCTTCTTTTCCTGTCGGTAATTTTTGTCCGACCGTTTTCTCAGAAACTATCCGTTGGATTCCAATGAAACTACACACGAGTATTGGGGCATGTATCTAGATGTGCAAGAGACCTTTTCTAACAGCTGCGCATCCAAAATGGCTGCAGCAGCCTCTTCTTTATTAACACATGTATAGATGTACGTCAAGGTGATGCCATTGGCCCCCTTCTATCTCCAATATTGCTTAAACTTGGTATGCAAGTATATTATAGCACTGTCAACTTTACCTCCGACCTGATTTGCATCTTTGCGACTATTGGGGCAGTTTGGAGGACTTCTGAAATGGTCCCCCATTACAATTAGTACTTGTTACTATTGTTGTTATTCGGGACGTTGAAGTGGTTTATAGTAACACAGCGTCCATTCCTTTATAGGGTGGTATCATTTTAACAGTTAAGGTCCTTTAAGGATTACGTATGTGTAATGCATGCCTGTAAGAATTTACACAGAAATTTTCAACCACCGTAAAATTACAATATCGAATTCGATTGCTGACGACAGACTCAATTATAACCGGAACATTGACATTAGTTTTTAACTTTAATATCAACTTACACAATACGTGTTAATTCAAAAACTAAAAGAGTTTTTTCATTTTTCAGTATGCTGAGGCAAAGGTTCAGATTTCGTTTGAGAACTTTTTACTGGATAAACAACAGCATATAAAAACTTTTATTTTTAACCAAACAGATGAAATTCTATATATATACACTATAAAAAATAATTTGACTGCAACACTGTGGAACATTTTTCAAAATGTTCATCTATTGAAAGACTGGCAAAATATTATAAGACCCTAAATGCCTAGGATTGCCGAGGGTTTTGCACCAATTTGAAAATCCGGAGCGTTGAATTTCTCTATCTGGGCATAAAATAGTGTTTTGCTCTCATTCCAATCTCAAAAATTTCCTTTAGAAACAACAAAAGACGTCTCAATTTTCGATTCGCTGGAATGTTCCCCATTTCCTGACGTCACATCATTGCTGTCCTAATGTGATGTCACACACATGAAATGGGGTTTGCGATTGAAATGTCTTACACTTGGCAGTTCTGTCATATATGCACAGGAATGAGAGAATATCACATATCCTGTGTTTAACTGACTAGATTCAATATTAATCTTGACTGTAAGGCATGTCCATGGCATGACGAAGCCAATCCCGCAACCAAGCTTCACAAACTCTTGAGCAATACACATACTGTTAGTGTTTTTTTCGCATGGTTTTAAATTCTGCAGAAACAATAGTACACAAGAAAAAGAGGCCAAAGGGGTCTTTATAGCTTACCTAGTATTTTATTTTCAATTTCAAACCTGCTAATTACCATACAGGTTTATCAAAGGATTACAAGAAGAACAAGTTGCAAGAAGAACTACATGTAAATCTGTTTTGGTGAGTAAGACACAAAGAATATGAATTTCCATGTTATGTCCCTGGGAGGTAGTCCAAGGGTTGGTCTTGACCTCCGGGCCTTCCCCTTCATTTGTACAGGATTCCCCCCCCCCCCCTCTGTTTTCCTTTTTGGACCCTGCCACAGGGGGTTCACATCCCCCCTTTATTCAAACCTGAGGCCCCTTTGTGCAAAGATGCTCTAGAACAAGTTTGGTTAAAATTCCTTCATCGGTACAAAAGGAGTAGGATCTTGGATTGTTTCCTCTATTGGGCCCCACCCTTCTGCCCCGAAGAGGGGCTCACATACCTCAGTTTATATGAAAGCGATTCGTTTTTCTCTAAGCATAATTCATACCACATTTCAATTAAATCCCTTTATTTTATTGGAAGGAGAATTTGGGCCAGGTGAGCTAAAAATTCTAATACAACCCACAGAGAGAAAAGCAAATTAATTCATCCTTATTGAAGCACATTGTGCAATGACCACTAGACCTGAAATCTGCAAAAAAATAGATCATGCAAATGTGACTATTTTAGCGAATCTTCGAAAGTTGGGAACCTGAACAAAGGACTTTTACAGTATCATGTCATGTCCACAAAACACTTTCTCGATAATTGTTGATAATCGGTGAATTTATCATGCCATTGGCCATGTATATCTAGGATGATTCTGCAAAAGGCCTACTTCGTACAATTGCAACTACATTGAAATGATGAAAGAAGTGCAATTTTCCTTGACCCATACATGGTTTCGTATTCAGTCAATAATACTATTTACAGCAGGATACATGATTACTTACGTCAACACATGAAATGGCAAAACAAAAAGAGATCAGTCGTGATAAAATATTTTATTGGTCATTTCGTAGTTAGTGTGCTTGGCTCTGTCCTGCTACCAAAGATTTCAAGAAAGACGCTGACAGAAGTAAGGACAGATTCCATATATACAGCAGACCAATCTGTTCCTACAGACGGACAGGTGTGGATACAGCAGACCAATCTGTTCCTACAGACGGACAGCCTTGAGTATACCCAAAATAAAACATTCGCCTCTATGAGCGTAATACGATAGGAACTGGTATTGCTCCCGATGTAGGAAGAGCTTATTTCCAGATATAAACCTTCTTTAATTCCTTGCCTGCTGCTAGAGGTAACCCCTACTCATACTTCACGAATTTTTGAGGCAAGTTTTTGTAGTACATGTTGGCGGACAATGTTTTCTGGGACTTAATTCTGTCAGACATAAAGATGCAAATGATCATGATGCAAATTTACATTTAAGAAATAGATAACAAATTTTGAATTAAAAACAACAACAAACTTCTGTAATATTACTTACCAGTAATGACTGGAAATAGGGCAAATAACTGCATTGCAAATCAGGCAAAGAGTTAAAATTACCAAGAGTGTAGAATTTATATATATACACATTTTGACGACTCCCAGCATAATTGGTGATCACCAAGATTCTTGATAGATTGCGGTGGATCACATTTTTGTTACATTCTAAAAGTCAGGATCTGTATATAATGGGCCTAGGCTTATCACTAGTAAAACAGTAATAAGAATTTATTAGTGTATTATAAAGGAACTAGTCCAACCCTATTAGCTACCACGTCTTCCTATCGTCCAATGTCCAGTGCTGTCTTTTTAATTAATCCTTGAACACAAATTCAAGATACACCTTAATACAACTTAAGTCTAAGATGTACCACTTTTTATCTCTTCTGTCTAAACTTTTTGTCAGTCCTTTTTCCTCCCTGGAAATCCTTGCCTTTTTTGTTATATCCAGGTTTCCCTTTGGGTTTGTGAACTTTGTCCTTTGACTTGAAATTTTTACTTTTATCGAATTTTGAATCTGTCTTTTTATTCATTTTCTTGTTTCCATCGAATGGTTTATCTGTCCTCATCCTCTTCATTGGTGGTCCCTTTGAATCCGACCTGTTTTTTCGTTTGGCGTTCATGCTGGAGAAAAGTTCTGCAATTATAAAATGTCATACATTGAGGAAATATTTATATAGACATACGTGTATCTCAAACCAATCCATCTGTTATTTAATTTTCAGTCAAAATTACTACAATTTCTTTTTTCTCCGATATTTCATGTCCTACTAAACTTTAAATCATCATTAAACCTACTGAAGTTTGAATCATTCCTTTGACAGTCAAAACTCGTGAACCTATTCTTCGATCTATGACCCACTGACCTCTGAACTAATCAGTTGACCTCATGACCTGACTCTATCCTTTGACCTATTGACCTCTGCATCTCTCCTTTGAACAACTGAACTCCGAACCTATCATTTCATTTAGTCGCCACTGGCTCTTTTATTTGACATTCTGAATTATGAATCTGTCCTTTTACCTGTTGATCGCTAAACTTATCCTTACACTCATTACCCTTTGAATTTATTCTTTGACTGTACCTATCCTCTGACCTACTAATCTCTCAGCCTATTGAACTCTTAATCTTTCCTTTGATCTACTAGCCTCTGAACCAATCCTTTGACTTTCTGACCTTTAAACTTATTCTTTGACTTACTGACCTCTGACCCAATCCTTTGACTTTCTGACCTTTAAACTTATTCTTTGACCTACTGACCTCTGACCCAATCCCAAACATAGTAACACGTATATGTGTATGTTTTATTAGCTAATACGATAGTGAGAAAATAACCAAATCTCTTAGCCGAGGTGATAGTAGGAAAGTATCACCACATCCAAGCTCAAGCTATATGGAGAAAATCCAACCCTCTTCCTAACTCAAGTGATACAACATAGACGGGAAAATATCAGAATTGGTCAAGGACATACGACAGACGGTCAGACTATGGATCATGGACAAGGGTTGATTTGAATAAGATGGTGAGCTAAAAACATCATCCTTCCATCATCCTAACCACTTCTTTCTCCAAAAATGGATGATGTTGGGATATACAGTGATAAAAATTTTCCTCTATTCCGATTCATTGTGAAGGAATATTGAGATTATATATAATGCATACTGCAAAAGCACATATTTTTGTAGGGGTTAAATTTCGTTGTTTTTGTCGTGGGACAAATTCGTTGGGACTATATTTCGTAAAATCAATTTTTTAAAACTGTACTTATTTGCTGGTAAGTCAAAAGTTTAAATTGACAGGCGTGACGACACAGCACAGGTGAATATAGTACAGGTACGATCATCGAGATCTACTCCCTCGATGCGTATCGGTCAAATCCGTCACGCTCTATAGCTTATATACGAAGAGCGATAATGTATACTTTACATAGACGTACATGTACCTTATCAGTAGTTGTCAAAGGTTAAAGCTATTCAAATAACTGCAGCTAATGATGCCCGTGACGATAATTACACTGTGAATCATGACTTGTGTCTAAATGTAAATCCACCATGGATTTGTAATAAAATTAATGGTTTATTTAATATTTTCATTTAGTTTATATTTTGTGTGTTTAAAATTTCGTTGGGATTATAATTATATAAAACCACGAAATAAACAAAAATCAAATCCCAAACGAAATGTTATGCTTATACAGTAATAGACAATGTGATGTCATAATGGTCTGTAAAGTGGACGGTCAGGCCCGACCGTGTACGTACCTGGTTCTGGTTCCTCTCCCACTTCCTGTTTGTAGTACGCCGCATCATCCATCTCCTCTTCACCTGTATAATGTTAAAACACAGATTCTTCATTTTGCCTACATCACATAATGTACAAATCTGATTTAACCCTTTCACCACTGTAAACCATAATGGACTCATCGAAATCAATGCATGGTAGAGTCTACTAAAAGTTAAATAGAGGTGAGAGGATTAAAATTTCTATTATCAACTTTTTTTAAATGTAACACACAAAGCAATCGCCTGAAGGTGGCACCAGTGCTTGAAAATGTTAGCAATGAACAGCTGCATTTGCCTTGTCATTTTTTTTTCCCTTTCATGTTTTACGGTCTATATATCTAAACCACACACAAAGTCTTTATAAGGTTGAACTACAGTATATATATTTATATTAAATGACGCACATTTTTCCTGAATTCTCCTTGGTCAGTTTGTGATATTGACTCGATCGATGTAACCATTTTTAAATACAGCAAGTCAATATTCACTTTATGACGTCATTCCAATAATTGTAAAGTCACCTGCAGTACTTTCTTCCATTCAATTTTCATACATTCCATCTTGTTTAATAATTAAAATTAAAATTTAGCATCTAATATAACAATTGATCACTTGTTCACCTTAACAGAAGTTCATAATTGATAAAGAAAACTCAAAAATGTATTTACACTTTCTGTAATTAGAAATACATCTACATAAAATATATATTGTATTCACTTTGTTGATTTTTTTTTAAATCTACATATCTAACTAAGGCTTGACAAGATTGAATTTTACATGTATATATTTATTTTAAGGTCTAAATTTATTTTGGGAAATTTTCAAACAGAAAGATACATGTTTCACTGACAAGATACAATCAAGCTGAATGTGAAGTTTTTTATTTTGTCCGGGTTCATTTCCAAAAGAAAGATATATATTACTGAGCGTGTTCAGTTTCTCTGTACAGACTGTGGAGATGAAATGCTGGCTGTTTGGAGATGCTTCTAGGGCAAACTACACCGCCACTATCACAATTAAGTCTTACACTTTACAGACACTTGAATCTAGACACGGTTCAGTGAGCGAGGGTCTAAGGTCAGGGGGGGTCAGCTTTGAGATCCAGAGCTAACGGGCCATGTGGCTTTACATTAGTCTGAACAATTTGGAGCTGTAGTTTACGGTGTAGATGAGTCTACCACGTAGTACCTATTCTATCCTACGTCTCACATCCACTGCCAAGTTACGAAGGCAGCGCTCTGTCTGTAGATCAAATAGCAGTGTAATGAAATTAAATCAAATTTACTGGAGAATTAAAAAGACTCCCAGTATTTTCTATGTTTTTTGACTCAATAGACACTTCATCCAAAGACAACTGTAATTTGGGCTTGGTCTCAAAGTTATCAAATCTGACACACATACACGCATATAAAACATACTCTGAGATTTCAAATAACATTTTAACTATTAAACATTTGATTATAGTCAAAGTCATTGGAACAAAACTAGAGGGTATGAGTGCATTTATAAAAAAAAAAAAAAAAATCCACTTCATTTCTAGACAGTTTATTTGGTTTGTTTGTGTTTTACGTCCTATTTACAGCTATGGTCATTTAAGGACATGCCAGGTTTGGGTGATGGAGGAAAGCTGGAATTCCTGGAGAAAAAGCACCGACCTACAGCTTGTACCTGGCGACTGCCCCAATTAGATCTAGAACATTTGACCCAGTGGTGGAGCGCTAGCTATAGCAGAACGACAGGCGCCTTAACCACTTGTCCGCCGCGGCCCCTGTTTTCTATACAGATAGATATTTATAATAACAGCTGCCTATTTACACCATTTATATACCAGGGCCCAACAAAACCAACCAGTAGCCAGGTGCCCAGTACTTAACAAGTCCTATTTAACATATAGGGCTGCAATGATACACAGACGTGATGATAATATACGTATCACGATTATATGGCCATGAGTGATGGTCATGAAAGCCTGGAAAAAAAAGTTTCCAATGCCCTGTTACAAAATTTGACAGGAGAAATAGACATTACTGGTGACTGTACTGTTGCTGCATTTCTTTTTGACTGGGTTGTAAATGTTTCTGATATTTGAACTTAACGGCTTCAACAATGGTACTTTGAAATTAAACTTAAAAGAGTTTCCTATGGTTTTCCATTTTAATAAAGCAGAAAGAATTATACTTATAAGCCTGAATATATCAAAATATTGAAATGTAACAAGGAAAAACTACTATTGTATTTTATTATTCAGGAAAGTTGAATTAATTCTTGGGTTTGTTGAAGTGGGAAAACATATTTTACTTTATTAGCCAGGAATAAGACAATAGGCTTTTGTTTCTTTTTAAGGATCCCTGTACCACTTCCAGCGTGATGAAATAAACAAAATATAAATCAACAAGGCAGGGTATTGCAAGGCAATCCATAGTCCCCCACAGGTAATGATTTCTATATTTAATGAACAGTACACTTATGTCAGGAAGCATAGGTCACAGTGAGGATATAGTGACCTACGTCTTGCACTCCGACATCTCAAGATGTCCTTGTATGCCAAATCTGGTTACTCCAGGTGAAAAAGAATAGAGGAAATGCCGCGGACAAACCTTTTGAAAAGTGAAGGTCAAAGGCCAAGTAATAGGTCATAGTGACCTAATTATTGCACTCTGTCATCCCAAGAGGTCCTTGTACCCTGAATCTGGTTATTCAAGGTGAAAAAGTATAGAAGATATGACCAGGATGAACTTTTTCAAAAGTTAAAAGGTCAAAGGTCAAGTCATAGGTCACTGTGACCTAGTTCTTGCACTCTGCACTACCCCATCCCATGATATTCTTGTACACCAAATCTGGTTACTCCAGGTGAAATAGTATAGAAGATATGCCACAGACAAACATTTTCAATAGTTAAAAGGTCAAAGGTCAAGTCATAGGTCACTGTGACCTAGTTCTTGCACTCCGCCATCCCAAGATGTTCTTGTACACCAAATTTTGATATTCCAGGTAAGCCCTGGACAAACTTTTTTCAAAAGTTAAGGTCAAAGATCAAAGCATAGGTCACAGTGAGGTCATTGTGACCATCTTTTTTCACTCTGCACTCCGCCATCTGAAGATTTCCTTGTACACCAAATCTGGTTACCCCAAGTGAAATAGTATAGAAGATATGTCCCGGACAAACTATTTAGACTGAATATAGTCCACCTGGAATTTGATTTTCAATTTAAAACCTGCTGATTATGTACCATACCAGCTCTTGAAAGGAGTACAAGAAATACAAGTTGCAAGAAGGACTACATGTAAACCTGTTTGGGTAGGTAAAATAGTAAGAGCATTAGTGCATTGTTCATGTCTAGCAATTTTGTAAATGGTACAACCAAAAGAACAAGAAGAAGAACCAGTACTAATACAATATGTCTCCCTTCATTTGAACGGGAGACAATATGCAGGTTGGAATGTAGAAGCCACAAAAATACAACAATATCAAACAAACTGGCATTAAAATGTATCCCACCTTGGGGGTAAGACAGAAAAAATCGCAACACAAGTGGTAAGATTCTCAAATGTCTAGATTACCAAATGTCTAGCCTGAGGCTTTGTCGAGGGCCAGATTGTTTAGAATCTTACCCAGAGGGATTAGACTTTTCTGTCTTAGTCCTAAAGTGAGGAATGATGATTTTTCTCCCACATCAAATACAAGCAATAACTTAATGAAATGCAAACATTGATTTGATAATTTCTGCAAATCTGGGTTATTTTCCGTGATCTGCTATTGTTGACGTGACGCTTGGTTTGTTTGTGTTTTACGTCCTATTAACAGCTATGGTAATTTAAGGACGTGCCAGGTTTTGGTGGTGGAGAGAAGCCTGAGTTCCCGGAGATAAACCACCAACCTACGGCGGCCCCTTATTTTGATGTGACGTTATGCAATTGTTATGACAGGGGATTCCCCCTGTCTTTCCACCTGTCTTTACCCTTGGGTAAGACAGAAATATCATTCGCTGACAGGTAAGTAAGGATTTACAGAATCTTCCCCTACCTTGAGGGTGTGACAAAGAAATCTCCAACCCGAGAATGATGTATTTTTGTTGTCTAACCCTAGGGTTGGAGATTTCTCTGTTACACCCTCAAGGTAGGGGAGGATTATTTTTCTGCCATCCTTTTTTGTCAGTCACAACTCCACCGACAGTAGTCTGCCATGTTTGTAAACAAAAACACATGTGGTGTATGAATATTGTCATTCTCTTTTGATGACGTCACAATTGAATTGAACACGTGTTAAACGGCACGAGGCTATAAGCTGATCTTTCCTGGCGTTTACGGGAGACACGCCTGTGAAGGGTGGGAGAAATCTCTGTCTAATGGGGGAGAAATACTAATCTCAATATGTTTGTCACAGTTTCTTAGCTTACAAGCCAATTCTCTATAAATGGTCAAAAACTGGACTAGTTGTGTTTACAAGACATTTTTAACAGACGAATGGATAGATAAATTGTTAGTGTGGTGTTACAATACGCTCTGATTTCGGTGAGATTATTCAGCGTATCGTGACCTTGAATATAGGTGAACATCATTCATCAAAACACGCATGCTGGCCAAATATCATCATTCTAGACCTCTTTGTTTTTATAAACAAGTTGTTTAAATTATAAAGTTGATGCCAGATAGACGGATGATGGACAGGCGGCCACCGGACACCACATCACGGCATCAGCTCACTTGGCCCTTTGGACCAGGTGAGCTAAAAATGGAAATATATTTGTCTTTGTTTTGTTGTCAGGCTGTTGATAGGACATCCAATAAAAGTTCCACATTTTCCATCAAAAACATGCTATTCTCTATACTGCCATGCCCATACACTACATGTGTTTTGTTATAATTTGTGCTGGTGTCAATAAATTAAAAGGGTGAATATATATAAGGAATGGATTATATTTTTTCAAATTTTAATTGGGCTATAAAAACATTCATCCTTGATACTCCAGAGGTTACACTCACTTTTCCTCTCTGCACCCCTGGAATATGTCATGACAAAATCGAAGGCTCCGTTTGGGCCACCTTGTGGATTATACAAGTAGACTAGTCTGATCCTTTGATGTAAATTAAAAGAATCGCTCGATCAGTAGAATAACAGTAAAATTGCCCCATTTTGAAGTCAGATTCACTCCTCTGTAATCTTTTAAGGACAGTTACCAACCTGGCGATTGGTAAGATCTTTTACCCGAGACCAATCAAATAGCTATCTTCGTGCCTTCAATTTCGCCATGACATATATATATTCCTGATGTGCAGAGAACGTTAGTGAGCGTAACTCCTGGAGCATCAAGGATAAAAAGCAATAAATCGGGTTTCTGGACAACTTTCCACAAGTTACTTGAATGATTAATTGAATATGTCGAGACACCGGTCTATCTAGCTAACATAAGCAACTCTAAAGTGCTTTACAGTACATAGATATACAATTAATACAATTAGCATATACATTAATATTTACATTTGGTGTGGCAAAGCCCTTCTATATTACTACTAAAGTACTGCCAAAAGCAGCTTCATCTTATGAGACTATAACTGAAGTTGGCCTTTGCACCTCCGATCGACTTAACAGTGTCACTACCGAACTTATCGGTATCTTCTGCTTTGATCCCTAACACCAGCTGCCTGTCTCAAGTGTCTGTGAGATCAACAAAAAATTTTACGCCTGGATTTTTCACCAGTTCAACCTTCTCTGGTTGCACGATCAACATCAACAACATGCTGGACTGCAAATATAACTCTGACCTGATTACTGCGGGCTTCCGTTGAGTGCGTGCGCCGGATATAGGTCGCAATAAAATCGGAAAATGTTTTACGATACTTGATTAGTTACAAAATATCATTTGTTACTATTTATGAATCGAGAATATGATATATATATATAAATCAAAAGAATTATTAACGAAAGTTGCGGAGTCTTTTCAATTTTGTATGGGAAATAGCGCATGACGTCAGCTGTTATCTTTGTGCCTTTCTAGATACTGACCTGACCTGACGGTAGTAAGCGGGAAATGTGAAATTTGGAAAAGACATTACTTTTTTTTGCGAATTCTTATTATGGAAATATAAATGTAAGCAATAAACTGCATAGATGTGGCAGACCAACTGGTATAACTGCCACATGTGTCAGTTATACCAGTTGGTCTGCCACATCTATGCAGTTTATTGCTTAAATATATACAATTTTTAGGAATTCGCATGAGCTGCCTTATCAGGCACTAACTAAACTAGTCCTATGCCACCTGGCTATTATCTCCCTATGTGTGTATGCCTGCGTGTGTGCTGGAGATGTGGAGATGTAGTGTGTTCTGTTTGTAGTGGGACCTTGCTTTCAACGGCATCATTTATAGTGCCACCTCACTTGAATGCTACAACACAGATACCACACCTCCACCCCAGACCAATTTATACTCCACCTGGGTTGTTGGGAGTTGTGTAGGCAGGAGAAAAACACTTTCTATGAAATCCATGTGTACGACGACTTCGGGGATCGAACCCCGGCCGCCTGCGTGGAAGGCTGGAGTGTTAAACACTCGGCCTATCTGCCCAGGAATATTGAAAATATAAAATCCATTTTTGCATTGAATGTTATCGTGACAATAACACCTACCTTCATTTTCAGGGTTTTCAGCCTTCTTCATCCCAGCAATACTCTTTCGCTTATGATCCACCTTTGCAGCTTCCTTTTTCTGCACATTTTCATCCTGCACCTTTTTTCTTAATTCTTTTAATTTCCTGCAACATAACAAAAAGAAATATAATTGACCATAAAATATTGTGAATTCTAAAGGATCACTGTCTCACTGCACTGTATTTTTCCTACATACAGTAACCTCCCCTTAGGTTTCGCTTGGATATAACTGTAGCACAGTTTGGCCAGGACACTTCCATTGACCAGGTAGCTCAGTGGGTGGGAGAGCTCCTTAACTATTTCCCCCCTATTTGGCACCACCCCTCTGCCCCCCGGGGGGCCATACCCTCCGTTTATACAAAACAGAGAACCCTTTAGCCAATGATGCTGATGCTCCAGACCGAATTTGGTCAAAATCCTCTGAGCCGTTAAGGACAAGTGGCACTTTAAAGGAAAAAGTTGACCGACGACACTGCGCCAAGGCATAAGCTCACTTGGCCCTTTGGCACTTAAAGCTTCCATCTTTAAGTTCAAGAAAATCAATTAAAACTACCGGAGTTGTGAGAGATACAAGCAAATTTGTAGACCTTATATCACCCACTTTCAGGACATGTTTTAGATGTATGCAAATGTAACCTCATTTATTGTGCTTAAATATGCCTGGACATGTTGAAGATGGTCCCCAGTCTGAGACATGTCAACATGCATGTGCATAAGGAATTTCGTTGAAATTGATACATTAGTAAGGCAGTTATTGCACAGAAACCAATTAGCCAAAATCACAAGATTGTAACCCAGTTGAGTATGTGTAAATATGCTGGATCACATTAATGATCGAACGCCTCCTCAAACATGTTAATATGTATGTGTATACCAAATTCGGTTGAAATTGACCCATTAATAGGGCAGTAATTGACCGGAAACCAATCACATGTTTGTAACTTACATAAGTATGCGTAAATATACAGGGATTGTATTCGCAATCAAAATCAACTTAAAATAATAATAAATCAGATCATTTTTCAGGGCAGTTATTGCACCAAAACTAACATGACAGACGGGCAAGCCCAAATTAATATCCCCCGTTTTCTTTAACAAGAGATCCCAAAGGGATCTTGGCGCCCACCTTTGTACCATCTTCATTAGTTCTTTGTCAGTTCGATCTTTTCTCTTCTTTCCTCTCATCTGTTTGATTGAGTCATATTAACAGTAAAAGCACCTTGAGGTAACTTTTGATCTAAACTTAATACTGATGTGTATGAAAGCCAACCTTCAAAGTGAGTTTGTCATTTCACATATTTACTAGTACAGTACTAAATGTGAAAGAAATAGAATCGATCATTGCAATATGAGAAAGAGCGGTTTAGTTCTTCTTTTAATCCATTTTGTTTTTATGATCAGTCTCAAAATATAACATACACAACAAGGGATCAAGGGGAACCTACATTTAAAATTTGAGAAAGATCCCTCCCGTACTTCC